GTACAATTCAAGAACCTCGTTCGTCAATAGAAAATGAGTAAACCAAGGGCAGATCGAGGAAGGAAGGAGCATCAGGTTCTGAAGAGTCACTCTACCAAACTATTCATGACCGTCTCCTCTGTCATTGCTGTCGTAGTCATGGCCAGAAATTACTTTTGAAAACGTTTTTCTGCAAAATGAAATGACATAGATCCAATCTTCGCAACTGCATCTTCTCGGACTAGAACGCAAAATTTCTCACCAATCCATACCGTAATGTGTTGAACCTCTCGTCGAGTTTTCTGCTAGTGTTTTCAAAGTATTTTTGGTATTTCAACATCAACAAAATTGACATTTGAGAATCATTCTAAGCAAAACTATATTCCCCCGTGTCTTTGCTACTAGTTGGCATGTCATTTGATAACACCAGTTTCAGTCTTGGCGTCTTGATACGTTGATCAATGGATGCCTTTATTGTTCTTCCAAACGCCAAATTTGCCCCTGCTCGTAATGTAAATGATAGCATAGTTATGCTCGGGTCAAAGAGTACTGGTAGTGTCGTGCTATACAAAAGCAAGTTAGATACAGTGGTCTCTCCAACCACCAACCAGATGGAAGCAAGGGCACTTACAGAAACCCAAGCAACTTGGCTGCAATATCAATGACGACGGTTGTCCATATCAAAATGTAGACTAGTGAAAACTTGCTCATTGGAGACGAAGCTGACGATGTCGATGATGCTTGAGAATCGACTTGCTGCTGTTCCAAAGTAGGTCGACGAGGAAGAGCAATAGATCCTCTCTTGCTTCCCGGCTTGGGAATGTTGATGGTTGCCGAGTTGACTGCCAGGTTTGTCTGTGATCTCCACATTTGACGGAATAGAGCAATGTCACTCAGCACTGCGAGGAATTCAGCAAAGACGATCTAGTTGGAAATAGTGGGTTCGTTTGGTTGAATCAAAGAGACACAAATCACATTTCCATAAGGCGAGAACTTACTAAGCTGGCTAGTAAGTAAGGCTTGAACACTGACAGGTAGTAGGTGTCTATAATGATGGACTCTCCAAGTGGGAACTAGCACGAGACCCGTATTAACCTGATGCTTATTGAGATCAAAACAAACTTACATGGTATCCAACCATTTCGTATATCGGAATCATGAAAAAGAAGGGACATATGTACAACAATGAGCAAAATTGGTTGAATCGTTCCAAATCCCGATGATGGATCTTCTTGCTTGAATTGAAGGCAACGTAGAAGCGATTCAACGAGTTGTGAATCACAATCATTAAGCCAGACTATGGTTTTTGAAAAAACATTGGTGTTAGCTATGAACGTCAGTTTGGTAGATCTATTTAATGTTAACTTTACCAGGATGTAAAAGTTCATGAATACAAGAAAGATGTCATAAGCACATTCTTCTACACGAGTTGCTTGAAAAGATACAACGAATAACTGATTTATGGATGAGATTGTCATTAAGAGAGTGAGTCCTCTCTGCCGGTCACGATCTGAAAAGAGTGTCTTCCATCTTGGTAGTCCATGAGTTGCTAGTCCTAGAAGAGACAAACCCCGTTTTATAATTGAAAAATTACTTTAAAAATAACCAAAGCGATTTCTTCAGCCTCGCCTTGCTCCCCATTAGCAATACAATTATATGTTCAGCAGCGACATACCAGCAACCAGCAATATTAAGAGAAACATTGCATCCAGTTACAAACGCTCCAACTATTATCGGAATAGCCGTGGTAATCGGTATAGCAACCATACCAAACGTCCACAGTATCCTGCTGAAAGGGTTATTTTAAAGTTTTAGTCTTTTGCGTACATCTTTTTGACGGGAATTTTCCTTACTAAATTTTGGTAACGTATCCAATCGAACCAACAGCCACACATTTCAATATCGCGACAAGATGATTCGGGAAGGGACGGAAGGGACATTTTAGAGAGTCCAGGTTGTGTTTTTCACAAATGCGTCTCGAAAAGTGGGAAGTGAAGAATATGAAATACGACGTTAGTATACACGTTTCCGGCCGCAACTTTGGATCGTATTTCGTGGCGAATAAGCTGCTGCACGAACATGGATCTGGAGGCTAGGAAAAGATAGTAAGTTTATTTACCAAGAGATAACAACTTGAATGGGGGTTGCCAGTTGTCAAGATTATTAGAGGATCTTTCTCGTCGCGAGGAGAGACACGTAATAGACGTAATACCTCGTGTTTCTTCACGTACTCCATACCTGGTACACTGTGTTTCTAACGCACCTATAGTGTGATGCATACATTTTATATATACGCATTGTTGCCTCTATCGTAAACTTGTACAATTCACAAAACCCGAGAAAGTCGGATGTGAAGTCCACATAATGCCGGGGAGACCATTCCGGTGAAATAGCGCACTACAATGCTGGTCGAAAGTTGTTCTTTGCAAAACAATTTCGAGCCAGCAAACGCTGGTGTATGCTGTTTGTGGAAGCAACAAGTCCAAAATGCGACAACATTGGTGGTTATTCTGGAGAGGGCACCCTTTTATTCACAATCAGGCGATACTCGGAACTGGTATGTTGCTGTTCTGTTGCCTAGAAATGGCACAAACTCAATTTCGATACATGGTCTTTTTTTCAACACGTTTTGCGACAGACAGAACTGGGACTGACTCCCCTTTGCAAAACAGAAAAGCTCTATACTTGAAGCTACTCTATATCTGCTGGTCTCGAAGATCCGTCACAAGGCAAGCTCAAAAACTGCCGATCTGTGGATGAATCAGGTTTCACATTGAAAAAAATCGCATCGTTTGCTCGGATGTCATAACTGGACTAATTTGATTTTGATTGTTTCTATAAACATGGCGGGGTTGAATTGTCTGTACAGAAGAATTTGTGGCAGCCATCTTCTTGCAGTATTCAAAGTGCATGGCATTAATGCTTCTATTTACACATAGATTCACAATTCGATCATTGAGAACCAGCACACTTTGGGCAGTCGGGTTACTTGCTTGCTGGATATAAAGTTTCAATGGGATAGGTCCTAGATTTCCTTCCTTTAGTCGCGGGTGGATGTGTCTTGCGGCGATAGAATGGTTGCTACAGCAACTCTCAATACGCTCTCTTTTCTTCGCATTTTATGTTTATAGGTGGATTCTCAAGCATGATCGACAACAGTGTCGTTGTCTTGCATCGTGCCCAGGGAACCCGCCCTGGAAATGTGTTTGTAAAACAGGTGCTTTCGGCACTAGGAAGAAGAAAAAAGATACCTGTTGATCACAATGGTATGTCGTGATTTCGTATGTTTATAGCTGTCATTATTAGGTCAAAGAAGGTTTTAATTTTGCGACAATTGTGCGTAAAAAGGAAGAGTAAATAAAACAATTTCAGAATCTAGAGTTCCCAGTCGTGCTTCTTCGCTCCATTTTGTTCTCTCTTCCAAACTTCAAACCTCTTGACACCACGACCGTTTGTGCACCTGATTTAAGAAACGTACCCAAAACACCTTGCAGCAAGAACACATCAGACACCAAATCCTCGTCCCGTAATCCATCACATTGCATCTTACACTCCCTACTCCCTTTATCGTCGTAGGCTACCCGCTGTAATTCAAGCCTAAACTACTTGTTCAACATCTACTATCAATAGTACACTAACAAGCCAAACATTTAATAGAACATATATCGATATCCACAATGTCTGGAGTCCGCCAAGCCCTCTCCACTCCAACCCGCAGCCGCTCAACATCAAACAACGACCATCATCAACCCCAACAACAACCATTCGGGTCTCTCTCCATCCCACACACCACCACAACAACCACACAATCCCTCTCATCCTCCCTGAAAGACTCGGCCAATATCCTAGTCGGCTCTCCAACAACATCCGAAATCGTCGGCTCTGCTGGCATATCATCCAACGCATTCGGCCTCTTTGCGAGAAAGATGAGCATGAGTGGTGGTAGTGCAATGGATGTATTGGGGGGCAGTCCAGGCGCGATAAGACGCATGTCGAATGTATGTCTAGTTAATCCAACATTGCCATAAAACGCATACTGACTCATTTCTTTACAACAATAGAACTTTCCCCAGCAACTCGCAATGTCACCGCCAAAGACACCATCAGTGCCCTCTTCTCCGACCCAGCAAACCAACACACAGCCGCCACAATCACAATCAAATAACATATCATTCAACAAGATCCCGTTACCATCACAGACGCTGCAGCAGCAACAGCAACATGCTGTCGTGGGTGCAGCGGGGCTGGCATCGCTATTGTTGGGGTTGCAGCCGCGTAGGCCTGTTGGTGGTGGTGCTGTAGTAAATGGAGGTGATAGTAGTAATACGAGTTTGGGTGTGAATAGTAGCAAGGAGATTGTGGAGAGGCCTTTAACTCCTGTCGGGAGTATGATACTACAGGTACCAAGAAATACCTTGCATTTTGCTGAAAACAAACTTTTATTGACAATAGCATTTGCATACTTTTGCTAGGGATCATTCCAGACGAACTGACGAACTAATCCAATATGGTGAAGGTTGTGCTAGCTTTCGTCGCATGTTTATCGTTCGCTTGTGTTGGGGCAGTAAGCTTGGCTTCTCTCTTTTGAATAATAATATAGCCTGTTGGTTTTGTCAATACTTGAGGGTAGTAAAGCAATGTCATCGTTGCTATGGGGAGGCGGTTCCTTTTCTAGTTGTTTTTTCCATTACACATCTTGTCATACAGTCGCAAAAGACAATAATTCCTTTAGGCATGCGTTCCTTATCAACCAAACACTTGGGTACGTTGCTTGTGTTTCTCCATGGTCGTTCAAAAGAAGCGTACAACACAGTCAAAAGCAAAGAAGAGCCAATAGGGTTTTTTATCAAACTTTGTTTCTTCATGTCTGTATAAAATGTGTGCTCTTGCTAAAACAAAATCCTCCCTAAAAAAGCTCCTCCCCTCGCACTACTATATAACAACTAGAACTCCTCCACCCTCCTCCATGCATTTTGCTTTCCATACAAATACAACACCTCCAAAAACCTCTCCTTGCCCCTTTACACAGTCTCACCACCAACTTTGACCTCCCCAGCCCCCGCCGTCGCCCCAGTCGCACCAGCAGCCAGCAACGATTCCTTTACAGGTGAATTCTGGATTCCATCTTTTCCATTCTTCAAGTTTTGCGGGATTGAATGTGGGATTCGTTCAGGAGATGGGTGTTGAGATCCGACATCTTGAGCGGATGTTTTGCCGGCTTTTGAGAGTGCGTAGTCGCCCGAGTCAAAGTATTTGCGGTCTCCCTAGAGAGGTGGTTGTGTTAGAAGGGTAGGTGTGAAACAAAAGCAGAGAGACTAGTCAAGTTCGTCCAGTTAAAAACTTCCCAACAATAAGAGTTCAACAGGCTGCATGTTTGTGGCATTAACCACATCTCTCTCCGCAATGATTCTTTCTTCTTCTTCACAGAAAGCCAATTGCCCATTGCCAACATTTGGGGTTTGAATATTTTTGATTGTCCCCATAGTTCAAAATCCTTCAAACCATAATTTTTGCTTTTACGACATGAAAGTGCCTCCCTTGCAGCACATTAAATCCATTCCTTTTTTTCCTCCAATATTCTGGTCACGGAGCCACACAGGATATTTGCTCAACCATTTGAATTTCCTCTCCCTCCCTTCAATCCACAACACCCAAACTAAATAACTCCTAGAATAATCCCTTCGTCTCATATGTACTTACTCCTCCCATCCGTTTACTCATCAAGTCCTTTTTTGGCGGTGGTAGTCTACCATATTTTTGATAAAAGGTGCGATCTTCGTCACTTAGTTTCTATGTTTGCGAAAAGAAAGGAAGAAGAATCATATTAGAAATTTCGAGTTTCTTGATAATTTCGGCCTTGTAATGTTCTTTAATATCCCTGGGGGATTTGGAAAAGTCGACAACTTGATGTTTGAATCGCCCCCAAAATATTTAAGAGCGAATGTAGTCCCAAGCGAGAGGCAATCAAATGTGAAATATCCATGTAATATAATATTATGGCTGTCACTCGTATGCTTGTCAGAACTTACCGACTCGTCTATGGCACCCTTTGTCGCCATGATTATAATGCAACTAGAAACGAGGGAGTACCCCAAAGAGAGAAGAGAGAGAGACAGGGAGCAGTAGTGGTAGGATGTCTCGTCCTGACACAGTTGGGTATATTGTCTCAGTTGGTCAATTAATTAGAGCAAGCTGTGCTGTGTGTGTGTGTGTGTGTTTTGGCAATCATCTGACAACGAGATGACAGAAAACCATGTGGTTTTGACAAGACGTTTTTCAGTAAATATTCATCGAGATTTCTCAGAGATTCAAATTATATTAGATTATTTCACGTGTAAAATGTACATTTTGTCGTGGTTTTGTGAGATCATCTAGAAATATAATACCGATTCTAAAAACATCACGTCGATTCTACATTGTCAACACCCTTCTCCCTTCTTCTCAGTTTCTGTTCCTTGCATGGTGATCCAAGTGTCAGTAAGAAATAGCCCCTATGTGTGTGTAAATACAGTTATTACATTAAATTCAGTCGTCAAACTACCAACACAAACACAATAATCCTCCTACACATACCTTGGCTTGTTGGTAACCTTGTCCACAGGACTCATGGCATCAAACAATTCCCTCGCATTCACAAAATACGATGGATATTTAAATGTAGCTGTTTCCATGACTAGTACCTGTGACTGAGAGCGATGGAAGGCACCGATAGGTGAGAAATGTCCGTCACCGGTTTGGTTTAGAGATTTACGAGCAAATGAGACAATCATGTGCATTTCGATACTGTTGTCTGTGCTGGTTGATGTGGCTGGTGCTGATGGATTAGTGGGAGGTATTCCGTTGCTACCACCTATACTACTATTACTGATACTATGACTCGACCCCCCTCTGACAGTCCTCTCAATATCAAACAAAAACTGCTCATAAGACACATCACCACCTCGATATGCCTTCACGTTGAGCCCATTGCATGAAGCTAGACAAGCAAACTCATCGAAAGTGATTCCAGTTTCTTTGACTCGGGATAGTGGTGAGCAGCATTCTAGCATTGATTCGCTGTACCTGTACAAGAGTAAGGTGTAAACAAATTGTAAAATGTCATGTATTGACACAATACCACACACCATCTCCAAGGACCCTTCCATGTCCTGCCTGGATCGACACCTAGCGAGTTGAGCACCATTGCGAGTGAGCCGAGGCCGCAGTACGCAGGTTCGGACTGGTGAGCAAAGTTGCCTGTTTGGTGAGTTTGTGAGTATTGCGTGTCAAGACAACGCGGCAAGTTGAAGCAACGTTGTCTGCATTCTATTTAATGTCATGGAGCGTACCGGATAGGTTTAGATAGGTTTCAGCGTGGTTGTCTATGAGGGACTCTTGGAGCAGCCTCCTCCCCTTTCTGGTGGTTAGAGCCGTCAAGTTCTAGATGAAAGAGACAGGAAGGATAAAAGTGTGAGAATTGTGAAGGTGGTTGATGAGCAGATGTGTGGTTGACCAAACAAGGGGCTGATATGACGTGTTCCAACAAAAAGTTTGATGTTTGATCTCATGCACATTGACTACAATGAAGATACCTCGGGAAGCTGCCTCCGATAAAAGGATTGGTTGGTCTCGATTGTAGGTGGTGGCGGTATGGAGGGTATAGTAGCAGCACTGGGGTGTATGCTTGTTGCAACAGCAGCGACAGTATTCATTCCCCGTTTCATAGTGCACCGGCACACTGGCTGTAGTAAGTGAATGGGAGCCCTCATACTGCAAGCAGATGGCCCCTATACGGTTGTATTCTGAGTCTGTTATTCGTTGAGCAAAGTTTTCACTCGGCAAAGTTGTCCAATCAAACAACAAGCCTCCGATCAGTTTGCACCACTAGTAGCTGAGAGACACTTTTTACGTGTTATTCACGTGTTTACAATACTTGGAATGCTGTCGGCGTTCACCTGCTCAAGTTGGATGCTTGATCTGCTGGCTGCGTCGAATTTGGGATTGCAAATTAAAGATAGTAATCACGTCTCTACCCCTTTCAAGCTGATTTGATGGCGTTTAAAGATCAAAAATACACGAGAATGATTGGGCACCGCCCACAATGGCCTCTCGCACCTCGCTCTTTGCTGCCTGCATTTCTTTTTCAAAACATCGAATCAAGCTATATACTACGCAGCAATAACATACCATATAGTGGGTCGCAATGCAGTCCGTCCCGGGCAACACGACAATAGAGAGGAATCAGGATGCAACCGTCTACATTGGAAACCTCGACGACCGCTCTTCCGAAGCCATTGTTTGGGAACTCATGCTCCAGGCTGGTCCAGTAGGTACGAGCATAGATGCTATATATGTGGTGCATTGCTGCTTGCACTATTATTTGCGACTCTTCTTTTCCTTGTTTTGCTGCAATCCAATCATCAACTGGGTGAATTAACATCAAAACACTTATACTAGTCAATGTCCATCTACCAAAGGACAGAGTCACCATGGCCCACCAGGGCTATGGATTCTGTGAATTCGCCACTGAGGAAGATGCCGATTATGCCATAAAGGTATCATATCTATTTGCTCGACAAATATATAATGAAGAAAATCGTCGTAGCTGCAGATGCTTGGCTTACACTCTCCTGCCATCATTACAATTATTAACAATTCACCCAAATACTCTCAATAGATAATGAACATGATCAAACTATTCGGAAAACCGATACGTGTCAACAAGGCGACCTCAGACAAGAAGAATCTAGAAGTCGGCGCAAACCTATTTATCGGCAATCTCGATCCAGATGTAGATGAAAAGCTACTTTACGATACATTCTCGGCTTTTGGGCAGATATTGCAGACTCCAAAGGTACGTTAGAGTGATTCTGTAATAGAGTGATTCTGTTGTCTTATCATCAAGGAAGGCTACCGTTGGTGTACCCTATACTTCGTATTTGAAGTTGACACATACTCATTCCATACACAGATTGCGCGAGACTTGGAAAATGGAAACTCGAAAGGTTATGGATTTGTCGGATTTGATAATTTCGAATCCGCTGATGCTGCTATCGAGGCAATGAATGGCCAATATCTCGCTAATAAACCGGTCAATGTCACGTATGCATTCAAAAAGGATGGCAAGGGTGAAAGGCATGGAACTGCTGCTGGTATGTACAATACGGTCGTTTGTGCTGGAAGAAATGCGTCTAGAAATTTAAATCCTCAACATTCATGTTGTCCATCTACTGAATCGTCTTTTTGTCCTCCCTTACAGAGAGGCTACTGGCAGCACAAGCTAAGAAGAATCAACCTACCCAACTACCCAATCGTCTATTTGCTGAAATACCTGGTCAGCAACAACAACAGCAGGGAATGCCTCAACAGCAACAAATGCACCAACAACAAATGATGCCTCCAAGTGTAGCAACTGGTGCCAACGCTATACAAATGGTTCCTCCAATGGGATTCATGCCGCCTCCGCAACAGCAACAGGTGTATGGCGGTCAAGGTGGATTTGGTGATCCAAGTCAGTTTTATAATATGCGTAAGTTGTTTCTACTTTTGGTGACGTTGGTTGCATCCTTTTTTGTTATTGGAGTTGTTTGAGAGTTGCAAAAAAAATAGAGCACAACCGTCAGCATAGTTGACACAATATTTTTTTGAACTCGTAGCACGACCCCCACCAACACCATTCGGAATGCCACCACCATTTGGCGGACAGCAGTTTCCTGGTCAGTTTGGTGGAATGCCGCCACCACCTCCTCATATGCAATATAATCCGCAACAGCAGTGGCAGCAACAGCAGCAAGGTGGTCGATAAAGAGTTATAATTGTTGTTCTGTGTAGTGATTATGGGTGTTGGAGAGAAGAGGTTTTGTATAAAATGCTGTGGTCGCTGGTCTGGTTTTTTTTCGCATTCAACAATACATTAGTACCATGAAACAAACTCGTTTACTTTGTGATTTCTTTTTGTTGATATGGAGGCAAGCAACAAATGGTATGAAAAGAGTGTGACCCGATCAGTGTCTATCACACACACAACATCAGAAAATGGCCTTTCGTGCCTGAATATTTTACCTGCTATCTTTGCGATTTGAAGCTGCACGTTGACTGGTTGAAATTCTAGTCTCTTGATCTCTCCCATTGAAAAATGATTCTCTTCTCCAAGATGTGAAGTTTCTATCGAGTTGTACGATCCAGCCATACGGGCATGGTGACACATAGTCCACAAGTCTAAACTGTCGAAACTAACAATGGACCTTTTCATAACCGATCATTGGTTGCAGAAGATGCTCCTTTTATGACAATAGTAGATGTAATGCCGATTTGAGTAGCTAGCATACATGAAATTGGGGTGATGTTACGGCAAATGACTATTGACTACATTGGACACTACCTATAAAACCATATTGTTTTGAACTCAATCCATTCAGTATCCGCAAAGAACGAGTCATCTGTTTGCATCGTTAGTATCATAGCTATGTACCTCGAAGAGCACTCGAAACCATCAACACCTTCAAATATATCCGACCCTTTCACAACCCCCCCCCCATATCTACACTTCACTCATACGTGTTCCATCTCTATATGCTCACCCCAAACTTCATAAAACATGCTCACATATCGGCCCAATGCACCAGCAGTGGACGAATCAACTCCATCACCATATACAAGACTCCTAGGTCTTCGTAACGACGATGATACAAGTGGTTGTGGTATCAGCCCAGCTTCTTCAAAGCACCGGAACGCATTCAAGAAGAGCGTCCTGTCACCAGATGCGTATGCGGATTCTAGAATGGGGACTGGTGGTATCTGAGATAGGATATCTGTTGCAGATGCGTATCGTAGTGCTTCTAAAATCTATGAGAATTTGTTTGCGAGGCGTGAGGATTGAGTATCCTAAAAGCAACTGGATATTCAAGATTTCAATATTTTTTTGTTGTTACCTTTCCACTACCAACCAAAACATCAACAACCTCTTCACCAGCTCCCACTCTCTTCAACATATCCAGTCCGACTTGTTTTAAGCCCCTTGCATCAACATCCTCGTTAGACACAATTACAAGCATCTTGGCCAGTGTGATTGAGTCTGTAATTACATGGTACTGAATTAATTGCTGCAAGTGTGTGTATTTACGGCATTGGATGAGTAGGGTTGTGAGGAGCTCAGAGAGGTATGGGGCCGGTGATCGCGAGTGTCGTGATAGGGATGTGAAGTATGATAGGATGTGTGGGTAGAGGTGTTGTGGCGTGATGTTCTAATAACAATACGTGAGTGTGCTTTTTGATTTTTTGGCATTAAGTAAACTACAACAAAGTCACCTACCGGATCGTTTGACAGAGGCAGAAAGACATGACTGTATATGTCTTCCTGAGAGAGTACTACGGGTGCTTCAACAGACTTGGTTTCCAAATCACTAATACTTGGAGGATCATGTTGTTGAGACACTAATGCCGTGTGAGATATTACAGTATCAGGTCCTACAAAGGGAGTCATGATTGTTTGGATAAGTCCATAGGTTCAAGAGCAGTGTGACCAAAAGAAACAATGTGCGCAAATCAAATAATGGCTCACTTGACTGTCCTGAAGCCCTCGACGGTACAGGTGATCCTGCTCTTGCATCATTTATAGGTGTGAGACCACTTCCTATCGATGACATGGAGTGCGATCTGTCACGACCAGAAACTGAACTATGTTGCCTCCTATCAAAGCAAAAACATTTAATATATATCCAGAATTGAGCTGATCAACCAACCTCCTAGTAACTCCAGAAGCACTAGCTTGATTCACAGCATCAAAAACACCCCTCAAATGTTCAACACTCTTTGCTCCAAGTATCAAACTCCTCAATAGCGTCAATACTAGATCATGTGCATCGTGCTCTGAACGACGTAGCAACATGGTCGTAAGGTGGACTGGGTCACTCTTGTTTGATAAGAGGAAGGACGCGATGTCCGCTAGTCTTGGATAAATAGAGTAGAGACGTCCACGCGATGGGAGGAGGATTGTTGATGGGAGATATGGTAGGCCGTCGTCTTCATCTATAGAGTGATGTTTATTAGTGCCTGGTTTTACACGACAAAATATTTGGGCATGAATACAGAGATCGAATTGCTCCACAGTGTCGAGACCCATAGGCTGCGGTGGTGCAACTGGTGTATCATCCAGGGATTGAATGTCGAAAATCATCGAGTGCTAGATATGGGTGAAGCATTTAGGTTTTTTTGCGTAAAGCCTGCGTCAAGACTCATTCAACTTCGACGCTTTCAGCTCACCTTGGCAGTTAGATTATGCACAATAAGCAAATTATCTACAACATTGACAGCATGATTGCCAGCCACTCCCAAGTTCAGTTCACGTTCTTTGCGAACAGATGATTTTGTAACGTGAAACAAGGACAACAGTGGAGGATTCTTGGACGTGTCGTTAAAAATTGCATAGATTTTGCCGTATCTGTGGGAATCAAATGTTTGACCAACAGCAAAAGAATCCTGAGACGCTGTACTGAATGGACACTTACAGCATCACAACCGACATTTGCTTTCTTGTGATGGTACTGGGAGGGGATACAGAAAGACCCCACGTCAATGTGTTTGTCGTATTTGATGGTATGATGAGAGAAGGTAGCTGAGTTGTTGAACCATTTGGTCGAAGATAATACATGTAGAGTCCTGGTGCACCGGTTGACACGATGAGTATCCTGTAGCTTGGCTAAGTGAACCAGATACCAGTGTTAAACAAAAAACCGGAAGAGAATCGTGCCAAGCTTGATACTTACCGAATAGACATACCAATTCACATTCAAGTGCACATTCTTTCGCTTTATGAATGTGCGTTTGGATTCATTCCACTAGAGTTAGCAGCGAAATACAAAATTCAGTAACTCAACATGATAGGATTGTACCTTATGCGTGAAAGGGGCCATACCTGAAAGAAATCAATACCGATACTCGTAACACACACGAATTCGTCCTGTATAGTCCATTCAAATCCAAGTATTGCATCTGATGACTTGGTATCACGAACGATTTCATACACGATTGGTGAAGTTGAAGTAGCCGGCACTACTCTCATTATTTGCTAATATTGAAATTGTTTGTTTATCAGCAAAATCTAGAGCGGTTATAAGCCAAGCATCGTTCCAAGTATACCAGAGCTTTAGCAGAAGGAATAACACCCAGAAACGAACCATCAGCAGATAGTTTTACAGATCGAGCGTATCCACGTAATGGAATCCTATCGCATGACATTCATCAGCGAAAAAAAGGGTTAGACCCGGAGTTGCAATGGACACTATCAAATCAACCTTATTCTCTTCACATCCCATCCAGACCCAACACCCACAACCTCCACTTCACCATCATCACGCATGGTGACTATATGACCACGAGCAGGATCAAAAAACACCATTGAGCGATCAGCGACAGGTTGGAAGGAAGCAGCCATTTTACATTGTAAGTGAGGTTCATTTAGGTGTTGAGACGAAGAAGAGAAGGATAGAGCAGGTCTCATTGGACTTGATGACACGGTAATATCAGGTGTTTTGGATCGCTCTTGGGGCTGTTCCTCATTGTCGCTGAGATTGTCCATTTTGCTGTTTTGATGTCGTTGAATGTATGGTTCTTGATTGTAAGAGGGCACGCTTCGGGGAATAGTACGATTTGCCTAATTTATGGCGTAAGATTCGTATTATTACTTATCTTCATCAGAGCTATGAAAGTTCAACAAGAACGAGAAATTGTTGCAATGTTTGAAGCTAGCTTTCAGAAGACGGGATCTACATTCGAAGCCAAATGTAAGATCAAGATTTACCTTGTTATATCAAATTACGGGATCCACGACGACGTTAGAAAAGAAAGACAGTTCTTTCTTAGGTCACATTAAACCAAATGGTTTTGAGTTAATTGTGGAGCAAAATTGGACGCAAACTGAAGTATAGAGCAAGTATAGAGTTCAGCTGTCGAGGTTGAAATAATGGAAATCACCCCTTTGCAAGAGGAATTGGAACGATCTTTATACGAGTCTAGCTTCACAAGATTTGCATTTACAATTTAAAGACTAGTTTTGGACAGCCCAACACCAAAACCAGAAGAGAGTAGTTGGACTTTTAGACACCAACCTATAGTATGCTTGACCTAACGAAAGTGTCAACGATCAGTAATGCCTCGATATGTTGACCTCCCTCAACAGTAAACCAGACAAGAAGGCACATACCAGCTAGTCGACAGTTTTGAAGACAAGTATGATGAAAATCTGATGCACTAGCACTCACAGCCTGGAATTGCATGAATTTGCTGCCGCAGAGCAAGCTGCAAACAAGTGTCTTCGTGATGTCCATCTTTGCATCTTGAGGTGAGCTTAGAGAGAGTGTACACTGGGTTGATACTGCTGCCGTTTTATGTCTGTGTCTCACTACTGTGTGTGTTTTACAACCCGTTCATGGCCATTTGCTATTTTTTTGTCACTTTGAGTGCATCTGATCGCTTTGTTGTCATTTTCTGTAGCTCATGAGCTCTTGCTATGGCTGCAGCATCTGGGTCCTACTTGCAATTCAATTGAATGCATCAGCAAGAGTTACTTCTGGCCTCATCTTGATGTGGGTGACTGGCTGTACTTTGAAAACATCGCAGCCTCTACCAGTACTGCCGCATCTACCTTGTCAGTTGAATTCAAATGTTCTGCTCTTGTCTTGCGTCGTTTTGGGGCAGTCAACTTACATATGTTTCGTTCTTTCCAGCAATGGATTTGCTGAGAGTCGAGTCATTTACACCAACACTGAAGAGCGTCATAAATGAAGGGGGTCAATATTGGGAAGATCAAAGGGAATGAAGCATAGATAAACTTCTACAACAACGACGATTGAAGCTCACATTAAACCAAACGTTTTGAGTTAATTGTGGAGCACGCCTTGACAAGAAAAATTGGAACGATTTATTTACCGACTCTAGTAGTTTTACTGAACAACATTCTGTATTCACAATTTAAAGACTATTTTTAGAAGGACCAACATCAAAACAAGAAGAAGTGGGTAGTTGCATTTCCAGTCCCAGGCTCTAGTATGCTTGACCTAAAAGCAGGAAATAACAAACGATCAGGAATGCCTCCATATACTGACCCCCTTCAACAGTAGACCAGACAGCAAGGACACATACCAGCTAGTCGACAGTTTTGAAGACAGGTTTGATAAGTATCTGGTGCACTAGTAGCAAGAGTAGAGCAAGTTCCGTAACAGGAAGGAGCTCCTCCTGTATTGTATGGGTAACCAGTGTATGGACGACAGGCGTCCAAGCAGTTGGAGTACAAGCCAGGTGCAGAAGAAGCCAATGGAAGACACTATTCAGCAATGTTGTAGGATTATCAGTGTTTGGCAGAGATGCTTGCAGAATTTGAAAACATCGAGAAATACTGACTGTCGAATAACAAGTTGTGTATGAGTTGACGCCAGTCACTCCAGGTACGTAACTAAGGCATGGAAAGGAAGTGAGTTATTATAGCTCATTTTTCGAAAATCCATAACAAGTCTCACCCAGCAGGCCATACTGGACCACCGTTAGTATTGGCTGGAGGGACTGGTACACTTCCTTGAGGAGCAGGAATAGCAAATACTTTCATGCTCAACAAGATCATGACTGCAACAACCAGCTTGGTCAATTTTGAAAGCATTCGTGATTTGTGGTGTTGTACTTAGTGGGTGGTTTGGGATTGAATTGCGATTTAAATGATTTGTAGGTTACGTGGAAGCTGGAAGTGTGAGATGTAAACATCCAAAAATGTTTATCTTTTATAGGTGTAACTCGCGAGGTGGTAGATGCTTGGCATAAGAAATATCTGTCAAAATCATCCCACGACTCATGCGGATTATTTGAAACACGTCATGGGCTTTTGATACGTTCACCAATGCCAAGAACGCTCATGTCATTTGTCAGCTTCTCTCAGTGAGCTCTGAGTGATTGTGCGGATGACCCACAGCCATTACTTGGAATTTCAAAATTTTCAACCCTTTACAATTGTCTAAACTGTAACTAGACCATTGGCTAGAGACGTTGATTTAGAGCAACAAAGAGGCCAAAATTCTACCACTTGTATCAAGACGCGCCCTTTCTATCGCTATTAGACATGCACACCACCATCTTGCTCGTAATGTTGACCACTATAATGATGCTCATTCAGCATCGCATCATCATCAGAAACAGTGTTTCATTTCAGCATCATCATCAGACATTACTACCCAGCTGTCTCCCAATTGTTTTATGACATTACTCAAGTTTGAGGTTGAAAGCAAGTCATTTATTGATAGTAAATATGTTTATTTGGAAGCCCCAATACAAGAAACACAGTCTTCGCACTTTAAAGTGCATCAAATCTCGAAAACGTTAGCAAGAAAGTCCATCATTTGCCATCTTCGTCTTCAAATTAGCCAAATCGTTTGATTTTGGTTACGTTGGAAAGCAAAATCAGATCCAGTCGAACAAAAAAGCACGGAAGATTCTTTTTGACAACATAGCCAAGTTTTAATTCACACAATCACGCTATATATACAACAGCAACTTTAAACAGACCATCATCAACCGAAAAGAATTACTATATAATCGAAGATGCTTGACCTATGAAAGGAGCAGATTTGAGCCACCAAACTGACAGACGCAAAAGACCTTATTCGACGGCAAGCATACCAGCTTGTTGACAGTGTTGAAGACAGACTTGATAAGTATCTGGCTGAGTAGCGGCAAGAGAAGAGCAGGTTCCGTAACAAGAAGGAGCGTCTCCTGTATTGTATGGATAGCCAGTATAGCCAGTGTTGTAAGGGTAGCCAGAGACTGCACGACAATTTTTCAAACAGTTTGAGTATAAGCCAGGTGCCGATGTAGCCAATGGAGTGCACTAAATGGACAAAGGGGTTTGTTGTTGTCGTGTGTGTTTGGCAAAGCAACAAGGTGAAGATCAAAACATCGAGAATGTTTACTGTGGAAGAACAAGAAGTGTAATAATCAGCACCAGTTACTCCTGAAGGATTCCTGAAGCATTTGAGAGAACCATTTAGCATCACGAATCCGTTTTGCACGAAACCATATCTTACCCAGCAGGCCATACTGGACCACCGTTAATATTGGCTGGAGGTACTGGTTCACTGCGTTGAGGAGCAGGAATAGCAAGTGCTTCCATGCTCAACAAGATCGAGACAGCAACAAAGTTCTTGATTGTTTGTGAAAGCATCTTTGAGAGTGAGTTGGAAACTTGAAGGCTTTTGATGTTAATTGAAGGTTTGGAGTGTGCTGAAAAATTTGGAAAGATGTCGTCCTTTTATAGGTGCAGCTCTCGCGAGGTGACAGCTTGGCATGAGAAACATCACTTCAAAGTCATCCCACGACCGTTGCGGTCACATTGGTTGCAAATCGAAGCGGCGTGCAGTTTAAACGCTATGCCTGCGAAACGCAGTCAAAACGCTATGCCCAAAAGTGCTGTGTGTGCTTAACAGCTCTGCCGGCCGTGCGGAAACTGTGAAGTTATAACGTCGAGGCATGAATTTTTCACGACCAGTGTCCTACAAAGTCAGTCACTTCTCTAGTATAAGCGCTACTTCTGTCTTGACTTGCTTGTTTCTGAGCTCTAAGCTTGGAGTACGAATTGCCGCATCTCCAGTTTGAGAATGTTTACAGAGCTCTACGATGTCTTTTACTATCTCTAGCATGATCTCGCAACTCATAACTGAATAATAAGCAGCGATTCAAGTAACTGTGAAAGAAACGTATTCAGATGTATGTGCATGAAATAAACGAGTGTAAAGAACTTTTAAAATACGATTCCCAGGCAAATCTGTGCAGCAATCGGTTTCGAGTAAAAAATAGTTCAAGGCTAGATTTTACTGTCCCTTCAGACCTACTCGAAAAGCACGGCTACAAGTTGGTGTGTGGATGTGCGTCTTGAATCCCAAGACGAACCACCAACGTTTCGCTTTGGGAGTTGATTTTGTAATAGGTGTCGAATATTTGAGTTTTCGACCGATTTTTTCACGAATTGAACGGGCTAGTACCTCGCATTTTATATCTGCGTCCATCGTTTCACCCTTGACTTTCTCAAATCAAAAATGACACAGTCTGTGACATCATCACCAACAGCCTCAACGCACTCCCCCAAAGCCACTTAAAGAATCAGAAAAATGGCATACACTGACGGTAGGAGCACCTGTTGAATCTTGCTATTGGCTTCTTATGTTCTTCTCATGCAGTTTTGCGTCCTTGACAAAAATACTCACATTTTCAACGTTTTCTCTCTAGTCACCATCTCTGTTGCAGGTGGAATTGGAACAATCACCATAAATCGACCTGAATCCCTGAATTCTCTAAGAGTACGTGCGATCGATAAACTACATCTTGTGTGCTGGGAAGGGGATGGCTGAATCATCAGTTTTGCAAAAACCACATCGTGGAGCACTGCCAGAACACATGCGTTTTTGGGATGGAAACGACGACAAGCTCATGCCTTTGTTCTCAAATATGAGGCTTGCAGATGACACATGCTGTGCCGTTCTGCCGACAGTGCAACCTGGATTCTGTGAACCTGAACTCATGTTCTTCAAATTCTTTGTGTAGGCTGAAACTTATGAGCAATTAAGACGTGCTCTATTGGAATGTGAAGCCGATAAGAATGTCGTTATTACCACCATCACTGGCAAAGGTATTGCTTGACCTTCACTGCGTGGTTTTGTGTGCCAAGGTTTACACAACTTTGCAACTTTTTAGGAAAGTTCTTCTCAAGTGGTGCAGACGTTCGAGGCTCACGAACACCAAACCCTGATCCCACAAAGGCCTACAGTACGTCAACTAAAAAAGATTCAATTTCATCATCCATTTTTGCTAATTGCTCGCTACTGTTTTTCTCAGGCGAAGCAATCAGCAGAGTAGCAGCCGGCCCTGCAGCTGTCACTCGAGCAATGATTGACCACACCAAAGTGCTTGTCGTCTTATTAAACGGACCAGTCGTCGGATGGCCAGCAGGCGCAATCGCCAACGCTGATTTAATATTCGCTGCTGAATCCGCTTATGTGTATCTACCCTTCACGGCCTTGGCATTGAGTGCTGAAGCTGGGTCATCTGCTGCGTGAGTAGTAGTCCTTTATGGTTCTACTTATGATAGAGTTGCCATATACTGATTCTTTTGCTCTCCACTAGGTATGTTCAAAGGATGGGCGTGGGAGCTGCCTCTGAAGCTTTGTTGTTGGGACGTCGATTCACTGCCAAGGAACTCGTACCTCTTGGATTTGTCAAGTATGTTTTCTGGATACACGTCTTATGATTGATCTCACAATACACTTTTATTCGCTAGCCGTGCGTTCCCAGACGCATCATTCAAAGAAGAAACAAGCAAGATCTTAGCTGATGCCGTTGAGAACTTGAATCCTAATGTGAGCGAAACAGCTCAGAATTGCCTACTATAGCATGAACGTGTACTGACATCCACTACTACCATCCACGTTTTTGTAGTCACTTCGAATTACCAAAGCTTTAATCCGTGACTCATTAAAGCCAGCCGTCCATCAAGCAAACGACAAGGAAGCCCACGCACTAGTCGAACGCACACTATCTGGTGAACCAGCAATCCAATTTGCTAAAAAGGCTGCCTCCATTGGTCAAAAGAAGAAACCTGCTGCAAACCTTTAAAAAATGATCTAGAACTCCCCCTTAAAACCCTGTAAAAGTACATGTTTTTTGTGTGAATGCTGTTTCATTATATTACAAGAAGGTAGTAGCTACGCCCCTCATATAGAAATTTACGTTGATTTGGGCTAAAACACGTACACGTCGGCTGGTTCTGGCACTTTAAGATATGTTACTAAAGATGCCAACAAGATCTTGAATCGCTCACCCAGGTGTCTCGAAAAATAACGTGTGTGTGCTGTGTAAAGGCAGCTGTCACAGCGACTGGAGTCATTAATCAGCCTCCAGTCGTGATATTATAATGAGCATGATGTTGGTGAGTATGCTGCTCGAGAGGTTGTAACTGGCAAGAGAGCTAAAGGAGAAATGTTTCACCGCGTTGATACTCGTGGTCATCCCATCTCATTTCTTGACCAGTAGGGTTAGGTATGAGTACTGCAGAGCACTTTATTCTGCACGTTGTAGACGTATTTTGAGAAATAAGAGCGAAATTGCAACACGCATAAGAGATTCGAAACTCTTACAGTAACCACCACAAACCAACTACAGATGCACAAAACATTATTATGAAATAAAAGTAAACATTTTCGTTGGTTGGATCAAAAAATAAAATTAGTGACTATCTTTACAGCGTTACAAGCTCTGATCATGGTAGAGTGTAATGCACACACTCATATTGTGGACACTAAAACGAATCATCACAAGTGGTTAGCATCCTTTTCAATTTCCAAACCCGTACTAAACTCACTGGCTCAACAAGACACCTCACAGTCCGATCAATACATATCTCATCAGCCTGACACGGTCCCGTATCACAACTCGACTTGATCTTAAAATTGGCGTTCGTATGCGGAGAGCGTATTTTGAATGGTTCGCAGAGTGCGAGGCAATCGTCCATCGACTAGTGTTGTTGTGATGGTGTTAGATTCGCAAGGAAGTGAGATAGAGAAAGAGAGGGCGCTTACAGAGAATGGCGATGTGCCTTCACAGACGCTTGTTATGATACATTTCTAGATAAGCCGAGAGAGTGTTTGACTTTTGTTTCAGATTGTGTTGATGCCTCGTGCAAAACCATAACCAAGTGACGTTAAGCATTAAAGGAAGACAGCCATATACATGTGCCAATCATGATAACCGGATATACCTCTCTACGGCGACTTACCTGTTTAACGGGATCATAGCTAAACCCAGCAACAGTCAAACCACAGCTTTTCGAAACAGCAGATTCAAGACATTTCGGGTCAATCTTCCTATTAGCAAACTTGGCATCTACGGCCATTTGGATTCCGGATAGTATCAGGAGGTACGCTACGGTTTGAGTTAGATGCATTGTGGCGATCTTTGATACTAGAAAAAATGTTCAGGAGACAATGTAACGATCAACAAAATATCACGCGAAACTGAATATTTACATCCTCCTATTATATAAATCTGAACATTAAATTTACACTTGACTTTTGCTTATTATACACATTTGAAACAATGGAATAACATTCACAAGAGCGTCCATACTTTACACCTTCCCAACTCAAACTTTATACGTAATCACACTTTCTCATCACCTCTTCCTAGAGACTTCGAGCCCTCACCACTACTATTACCACAACTACTACTCTCAAGCCAAAACCCACTTGTAGGTGCAGACACACTCATACGATGTGAACCTTGCGGTGCTTGCAATGGCGTGCATGTAATACGAAACAAGTGGCGTTTGGCTGTTGCTGTTGTACCAGTAGCAGGATCAGGACTAGTCTTGGGTGTGGTGGGTCGTTGAATGGGTGACGTGTTGCTACTTATACCAGTATTTGCAACAAATGATGGGAATTTGTATCCTCCTCGCATTGGACTTGTACTGCCACTTATACCACTACTTATCCCACCACTGATCTTTGCACTAAAGTTACTACTACCATTATTACTCATAGCAAATAGAGACGGAAACACGATATTGCTCAAAGTGGGTGACAATGGTGTTGTTGCAGAATTCCGATTTACAGGCGAGTTGACAGTCTCATATACTGATGCATGTAATCGTGTTCGAGGTCGATGATCTGATTTACGACGGAATGTGAGTGGTGATATTAGATGATGTGGTGGCGTGTCCTTGTCAGGCAATGGAGGCGGTGGTGGCGTTTTATTCGTATCAGTCATAATCATTGAAGTTGCTCGTGGCGGAGAGGTAATATCATGCACGGCCGTAATGATGGAAAGAGACGGACGACTGCCAATTGATGATTGCGATGGTGGCGGTGGCGTTGTTGAGCGAGTTACAACAGAATCCATATGGTTTCGTTTAGGTATTGGCATGCCTTCTGGCTCTTCTTCGTCATAAGCAGCGACAGATTCTTCTTTATCAGCAGTCTGCGGCTGTTGCTGTTGATGGCAATTTTCAATAATATCATGAGATTCACTCGGCTGAGATCCAGCTTCTAGCTGAACCTCATCTCCAATGCACATAAGCACTTCTCTCAATTGTTCAAATGTATGTGCTGACGATCGTCGAGGAGATACCATTCTCATCGGAGATGCAGTAAGGCCTTCACCTTGAGTGGCAACAGATGTTGTGGATGATACTGCTGATGCGTTCAGGTATTGACTTGTCCCAATGACTGTACTATCTGCTGTATCAAAGGTGGCAATAGATGATATATCAGCATCACTACCACTGTGACTTTGGATGCTGGGCGACATGACAGTTCTTTTGGCATTAGCACGCTCCAAAGTGTCAAACCATACATCACAGCTGTCGTCATCTGCATCTAAGAGAGTTAAAAGTGTTGAATGAGAACACATCCACATTATATGTATATGAGGAGTGACTCCAGGTCCACATCATGATATCTCCCTTGTTTTGCCAATAGCAGGAAACTTACAAAAACGTGCTACAGCAGACGTAGGAACCACATTTGTCTCACTTCTGTCGATAACAGTAGCTTCACATCGGGGTGGAAGAGGGAGGATAACCTCTGACGTATCAACCCGTAATCCAGACTTTCTCGTTCTGCGTTTCTCTGTGACAGTCTCATTACTAGACATGCTTGACTGGTCATCATGTTGAACGCCAGCAGCAGCAGCAACATCAGCACCATCAGTAGCAGGAGACTGTTGCTGCCCATTCTCAAGATCCGAATTATAATCATGACGCGACATAGTGTCACTGTACGTATCTCCATACCCGACCATAGAGCAATCACCAGCAGGAGTACGCATCAACAGACCATACGTCAAATGAGGTGCGACATCTCCTATCCGTGACATTGTTTCACGATTATGAGTTGCATCTTGTTGCTGCTGTCGTTGGTGGTGGTGTTGCTTCTTTACAATAACTCGTCTCGTCGTTTCAGCTGGCGGTACCCGTCGACCCAAGAATTTCTTCCAAGTCTCACTACGGAACAGGGATGGAGTACGAGCCGGGACTGTATTTGATCGTCGTGCTTCTCGTCGTGCATAATCTTCAGACGTTCGTCTGGAAGATGACATTGATGGATATCCAGATGCCCATGGAAGAGTACGAGATTGATGGTGGTTGTTGTTGTTGTTGT